GGGTTTCACCATGTTGACCAGGATGGTCTCGATCTCTTGACCTCGTGATCCACCCGCCTCGGCCTCCCAAAGTGCTGGGATTACAGGCTCGAGCCACTGCGCCCGGCGCTATTTTCATTTAACCAAGATCAAACCAAAAACCTTTTCACGTGTGAGTCCTAAGACTGTAAACCTGAACCTTTTCCTATGTGATTCCCGAAAGTGTAAACAGAAACCTTTTCACATGTGATTCCTAAAACTGTAAACCGAAACCATTCATATGTGATTCCTGAAACTGTAAACAGAAAACTTTTCACATGTGAGTCCTAAAACTGTAAATCGGAATCCTTTCTTATGTGATTCCCGAAACTGTAAACAGAAACCTTTTCACATGTGAGTCCTAAAACTGTAAACCGGAGCCCTTGCATATGTGATTACTGAAACTGTGAACAGAAACATTTTACATGTGGGTCATAAAACTTTAAACTGGAACCCTTTCCTATGTGATTCCTAAAACTGTGAACAGACACCTTTTCACATATGAGTCCTAAAACTGTGAACCAGAACAATTTCATATGAAAGTGTAAACAGAAACCGTTTCACATGTGTGTCATAACTGTAAACAGGAACCATTTCATATGTGATTTTCCAAAGAGTAAACAGAAACCGTTTAACATGTGAGTCCTTAAACTGTAAATCGGAACCCTTTCCTATATGATTTCTGAAACGGTAAACAGAAACCGTTTGACATGTGAGTCCTAAAACTGTGAACCAGAGACCTTTCCTATGTGACTCCTGAAACCATTTAACATGTGTGTCCTAAAAGTGTAAACCGGAGCCCTTTCCTATGTGACTCCTCAAACTATAAACAGAAACCGTTTCACATGTGAGTCCTAAAACTGTAAATCGGAACTCTTTCCTATGTGATTCCCGAAACTGTAAACAGAAACCGTTTCACATGTGAGTCCTAAAACTGTAAACCGGAACCCTTTCATATGTGGTTCCTGAAAGTGTAAAAGGAAACCGTTTCACATGTGAGTCCTACAAATGTAAACCAGAACCCTTTCATATGTGACCCGAAACTGTGAACAGAAACGTTTTACATGTGAGTCCTAAAACTGTAAACCGGAACCCTTCCATATGTGATTCCCGAAACTGTAAAAGGAAACCGTTTCACATGTGAGTCCTAAAACTGTAAACTGGAATCCTTTCCTATGTGATTCCTGAAAATGTAAACAGAAACCATTTCACATGTCAGTCCCAAAACTGTAATCTGGAACCGTTTCATATGTGATTCCTGACACTGTAAACAGAAACCTTTTCTCTTTTTTTTGGAGGAATTATCTACAGAACATGGTTTATTTCACGTCCAAAACCCAAATTACTCACTTTTAACATACCACATTATTTTTACTGCATATATATTTACGGTTTCTCTAGTCACAAGTACAGTTTATTACTAGGCTTTAGGCTCGAATGATTCATACATAATCAGTTTACTACCAAGGACATATACTTTTAACAAAATTTTTTGTTTAGAAAATATTTTACATAAAAACACACACAGCGCTTACCAACACTCCACAATCAGTCTTCAGCAAAGATTTGGCTAAAGATAACTTTCTATAAAACACTCCAAGACCAAATAGAATGTAGGATTTCACATACTTTAGCTTATTGTTGCAGTTAAAATTACCCTTTGTTTGATGGCTTCTGCATAGTTCTATAAAGCAGAAGTCTTTAACTGGTGACTTGTTAAATTTGTCTAAGTGAACTTGTCCCCAACCCAGAACCTAAGTAGTCATAATGAAATCAAATAACTGACATATGTGGGGCTTTTTCAACCTAAGAATAATTTAATGCCTATCAGTAAAATATTTTAATGTCTTGTGTTCAATAACTACCACCTGGAGTGCTATAATCTTGTATAATCAGTTGGCATCAAAATATAAAGTAAAAATATGTATATTTTAATATAACAATTCTTACCTGAATAATCTCAGATCTCCAGAGAATGTTCCACAAAGTGGAATTTCTTCCTAAAGTTATGCTGAATGTGGTACAATGTGTACAACTTGGTTAACCAGTGTCTGCTTTTCATTTCCAAGATTTTCCTTATCTTGAATCAAATGCACAATCTTACAACTGTATCATAATGCACTGGCTTACATTGTTTTATATAAAGTCCAACTCAAGCTTATTTTGGTTTATTGTACATGCTTCATTAAAATGGTACTTGTATTTACAGTATCTGCAGAAAGAGTCCCTTCCAAGGCGCTCTCACACACATTCAGACACACCCACATAGACATCCACTCCACAGCCCCATGCACCCACACCAGTGAGATATGGAGGGTCAGACTCCTAAAATTAGGCAGCTGTAGGGGATAGGAACTGATTTGTTTTTCAGTTTCTTTGAAAAGAGAAAAGCACAGTGAATGCATTTGGCCATTACAATGCTAATTAAATTTGTGTATATTACATATATGGCAGTTAACACTAAATATTCCTTTTACATTCTACATATACAGAATGATATCAAGGTTTTGGGGTCAACAGAACATTCCAACTTAATGCTGATTGTAGTAACTTCTGAATTTATTATAGGGGCTTTCCCTAAAAATAATTCAAGTCTATGTTAAGTGAAATAAGGCACAATTAATATTGATTCGATTGAGGGGAAGGGAAGGAAAGAGAAGGGATAAAAACTGGTTTAAAATTGTCTTTCTATTGGGGAACTAGTTCTGACTTAAACCCACTTGAAATTCCTTCTCTTAATTTCCAAAGATTTCTTAGAAATAAAGATATTTTTCTTTTCCCTGACAAAGCCAAAAAGAAAGCTTGGGAATTCACATTTTAATGTTTCAGTAGCCCAAACTACTCAAATTGTTGTGTATCCCCGCCACCTCCCCTGCTCAGGTCTCCTCCTTCACCAATGGTAAAATAAAAACACAGTGTGCGACATAGGAGTCCCTTGATGTTTCTTGAGGAGAATTGTACACTTGAGTATCAAATACATATCTGGTTGTCTTCAATATATTTTAACAAGAAAGAAAGAGAAAAGAAGGAAGGAAAGGAGGAAAAAAGGAAGGAAAGGAAAGAAATAATCTTGTGACTTTCTTGCTTTTTAAAAAAATCCCTGTCTCTTTCTTTTCAGGATGATGAAGCCCCACTAGACATTACAAACAACTGCAGCAAATGAATTGGCAGCATAAATAATGCCTAGTATTCAAATCTTCATAGTGAGATTCATTTATCTTGTACACAATTTGTTGAATGTTTTTCGCAGCAGGTAAATCAAACCCAAAGATGCTGGACATTCTGTGAAAGGGAGTAAGAATTGTAGTTCTGAAGGCCCCTGACTTTGGTTGTTTACAAAGTTCAATCCTGTTTATTGTGATCCTTGGTATGTTCTTCTTCTGTATATTCTGATGGTTCCTCTCCTGGTTTTAGGAGTCTGCCTACATAATCATATTTTTCTTTAAACTGCATTTCCCATTCTCGAACACTCTCCATTTGTACTGCATTCAAATCTGAGATATCATATTCATCTCTAAGTGCGTCTTTATCTAGGCAAAATGTTGCCAGTCCTCTGGAGGCATCCCTACCAGCAAATATTCCATATGGACTCGCCGTGCCGTAGAACTTGCTGCCTTTGGTCACGTGGAAGACTTTCTCATTGACTGCAAGCAGGATGCGCTGGTTGCGGGACCCGTGGTACTGGCGCAGCTGCGCTAAGCTGAAGTCCCGCTTCTTCATGCGAGGAAGAGAGGCGGCGCGGCTATCCTCGCCCGCCGCGGCCCTGGCCCCCAGACCCCGCAGTCCCCAGGGCACCCACAGCCGGTAGGCCCCCAGCAGCACCAGCGCCACCAGCGCCATGTTCAGGAACATCTCCACGCCCCCCAGCAGAAGAGCCAACCGCCACCGCCCAGCCACCCCCTTCCGCTGACGCTCCCGCGCTACCCGGGCTCTCCTGGCTGCCTCCCCTACTATTTTCGCTGCCACTCCCGAGGGTGCCTAGATTCACGTCGCGATCACCTGCCGCCATCAGTGCCCGCCAGCCAACAGAAAACTTTTCACATGTGAGTCCTTTATATATATATATTTATTTATTATTATTTTTTTAAAGACGGGGTTTCACCATTTTGGTCAGGCTGGTCTTGAACTCCCCACCCCAGATGATCCGACCGACCTGGCCTCCAAAGTGCTTGGATTACAGGCATGAGCCACCATGCCCGGCCGTGAGTCCTAAAACTGTAAATCAGAACCCTTTCCTATGTGACTCCTGAAACTGTAAAGAGAAACCGTTTCACATGTGAGTCCTAAAAGTGTAAACCAGTGCCCTTTCTTATGTGACTCCTGAAATTGTAAACAGAAACAATTTCACGTGTGAATCCTAAAACTGTAAACCAGAGCCTTCGCTATGTGACTGCTGAAACTGGAAACATAAACCGTTTCACATGTGAGGCCTAAAATTGTAAACCGGAGCCCTTTCCTCTGTGACTGCTGAAACTGTAAACAGAAACCGTTTCACGTGTTGTTGTATTGGACCGAGCTTAGAAAGTTATCACCAAGACAAAAGTATGCCAGATTGCAGGGTCATTTATTATGCGGGCGACCACAGAGGACTCACGTCTCTCCAACCTGTGGCGTCAAAAGGAGGGTGCCAAGACTTTTTATACCCAAAAAACCACCTTGGGAGTGGGGGTGAGGAGCGGGGATGGGGATGAAAAGGTTTTGGACATTCCAAGGGCTAGGGGATTCTGTAATTCACCTCCTGGGTGGAGACGAGGATGGGGGTCTCCGGACATTCCAAGGGCCAGGGGACTTTTGTCATTCTGTTTGTTACTTCAGTGGTTTACAGAAGTCAAGATAAGCATTTGTTTACACACAGACCTTAGTTATCCTGGGCTGCTTATTTTAGTTATTACTAAATAACTAAAGCAAAGGCTAACAATTCTGGCACAATATCACAGTGTGAGTCCTAAAACGGTAAAGCAGAGCCCTTTCCTATGTGACTCCTGAAACGGTAAACAGAAACCGTTTCAC